TTTTGTTGTTTTACTGTATGTAAATCTTAAGCATGAGGGAGAGAAAAGAGGTGAGTGGTTTTGCGCTCTCTCTTCTTTACTCTGACTGCACCACAGTGAACATAAAATAATATGTTATCAATAAATCAGTGGTGTTCCTTGACATGGTGTTTAAGAAGACTATTAAAAGTTATTCTAATGTAAAAAAAAAAGTAATAACTTATCTCTTTAAACAACATGTGACTTTCATTTTCTGCAACAAAAAAATGGTAGATTTTACCAACAACCTTCCCATTGCTTAGTAAGACATTTACAGTAAATGAAAGTTGAGTGTAGCCAAACTACTTGCTGTTTGAATAAAGAGAAAAAGGTAGTGTTAAACTAAGCTAGTACAGATCTGGATAATATAATGTGAAAATACATTGGTACAATAATAAAAGGTCTTGTCTCAATAAATTACAGTACACCATAATGGGGACACTAATTTATGTATATATGACCCCTTTCAAATGGAGGTTGTGTAACTTAAAACTCTTATACAATGTGACTGGTGCATTTAAAAAATAAATACATGAATGAATGATCACATAAATTAAAAAAAACACACACTCATACAGAGGTGCATCTAAATTCTCTATGTAATAGCTTGTTTTTAGATATTTGTAAAACATACCACAGTTGAGATCAACAGCAGGGAAAGTGGGTTAGTTGACATTTCCAGTGACTATCACTTGCCACACGTAAGTGCTCAGCTAAAAAACAATAAAGAAGCTCAGACAGAAATTGTTTTTCTTTAAAACCTTTTAAATGAATAGGTCATGACCAATTACAGTATATTACTTCATCCGTTTGCTCCCATTTCCTTTCAGACTTTTCTTTTTTAGACTTTTACTTTTCTCTTAGTTTTGTTAGGTTTGGGCTACAAAACTACTTGGTGAGGTGTAGTTTGAGTTTCAATGCACATACTGATAGTCCAGTAATGTCATGGCATCTTTTTCATGTCTGTCTAGTCTGTCGCAAAAGCTGCTGAAAGATTATGCTAAAGGCCTTTTTGGCTTGTTACAATGTGACATTAAGGAGTTCCAAAAATGTACCACTTTCATAAGTGGGGCTTGTGAACAGGTTGTTCTACATGCTTCTAACAATGAACGCCCTTCTTGGGACTGCAAACTAAACACAGACTGTTATAATTGGCTTTCATTCATCCATAAAGAATGTTAAATTGTACTAACCTGCATGAATGGTGCTATGGAAACATACGAACAAAACCTGATTGATTTATTTGGTGACTGACAAGCAGCTCAGCAGGACATTTCAGAGGATATTTTGACTGTCTCTCACACACACTCACAAATATGTATGCAGTAAAATATTGAAAATAAAAGCTTTACCCATTTAACCTCTTCCAGTACTCTTCCAGAAACTGAAAAGTCAACAATAAAAAAAATATTGATGAGTTTTCAAATAACTGCAAACCTGCTGTCATTTCCATTTTGTCCAGCAATTTAATTTTGTAAATTTTGGAATTGAGGTTGTAATATGAAAAACGTGTATTTTCATCTTCATATTTTTAAACTAGAAATGGTTTGGTGATTGTGAGCAAACAATTAAATTTTGTTGATTCTTTGCAATAATTATGTTTTAACCTGTCTTCACAGACAATGATTTCCAGGAGTGTTCCTGAGCCCATGCAGTGACAAAATCATACCTTTTTTAATGCAGTGCGGCACACTGGATTTCTCCAATATTCTCCATATTTTGATGATATTATGTACTGTAGATAATATTTGAAGCCTTCACAATTGTATGCTGTGGAATAGTTCTCTGAAATTGTTTCACAGTTTGTAGATCTGTTTTGCAGAATGGTAAACCTTAATTCTCTGCTTCTCTAAAATCTCAGTCATGTTACTAACCTGTTGCAAAGTAACCTGATTTGTTGCAAATTGTTCCTTTTTCAGAATTGGGTTTGTATTAATGAGCTCACATAACTCACAGCTTACACACTGCATTGTCAAATGTGTTCAGCTACTTTATTAAGCAGATCAGGAGCAATTGTAATATAACTATATATACTACCCTTTTGTAGCCACTTCCTTTTGGACTTTTTTATTGTCTTTTATTTCTGTTTTTTATGGTTTTGTAAGGCTTAGGCTTAGAAGACTACTTGGTTAGATTTAGTTTACGTTCAAATATTTATTTATTTTTTACATTATAAAACAGTCTTCTCTGGGACAATGCTTCTATCTGCCCTCTCATGGCATGTTATGCAAACTTTCTTGCTTATTACACCTTGCACGTTGAAAGCTTACGCTAAAAGGCTTTTTGGTTCATTACATGTGTGACAACAAGAGGTCCTGACAATTCTATGGATGAATGCTGGTTTGTATTCAGTTCTATTATTGGCTTGTCACTCCTCTGTAAAGAACGTTAAACCGTACTGCATTCAAGATGCTATACAAATAAAAGATAAATGACTGACTGATGACGAGCTTAGCAGGATATTTCACATTTTTTGGAGGATGGATTTGACTGTCTCTCTCACACTCACGAAATCATACACAGTTTAAAATTTTGACCAGTTATTGTTTACCTATAGATTCTCTAGCAGTGTAAGTCTGCCCATTTAGTCTAACTTCAAATCCTTCAGAAACATTGCAAGGATTTTACCTTGTATGCAGATGGTACACAACTTTCTGTTTCATTAAAACTTGGCACGACTGATGTCTTACACGTAAGTGTTGTCTTGTCTAAAGAGTGAAGAATTTGGATGGCCAAAACCTTTCTCTGACTCTAAAACCAAAATAATCATAAATACACCTTCCACCCCCAATACTAGGAACACTATTAATTTTTATTTTAGTCTGAATGTTGAAAAAATGTCTGCAAAGAGTCTCCCAATTTAGTTTAATTCAGACTGGACATATATCAAAACTTAGTCATCCATACTGTTATTTCTTCCAGACTTGATTGCTATAATGGACTTTACTTAAGCATCATTTATCATAACATATACCGACTACAGTTAATTCAAAATGCTGCCAGGTGTTTAACACTTAGCAAAAGGAACAGCCACATTTTATCAGTCCTATCAATCCACCTCTTCACTGCATACTTGAAGGTTTTAGAATTGATTTCAAAATTGTGCAGCTGGATTTTAAAGCACTAGAAGGTCAGCCGCCTGCCTCCTGGAGTCAGCATCTTTTTCTCCTAGATGCTGACTCCATATGAGCCTGGCAGGAGCCTGAGATCTTCTGGTATGGCCTTGTTAGTGGTCCCAAAGCCTCATCTAGCAACTATCAGTGACTGAATGTTTGGCCCCTCAACTCTATAACAACTTTGAAATTTCTTCTTAAAACATATTTTCTGTCCTTTCACAATTTTCTTTTAACCACTAATATTTTTATCTTATTTTTGATCAACTTTAACTATTTTTGTTTTATTGTCCAGAAGTGCACATCGGTTGGTTTTTCATTATTTATCTTGAATTGAAGTGAATTTGAATTTGCTACAAACACTTTTAAAACACACCTGTTCTTAATGGAAAAAAAAATGTCAAGCTGAACATCTATACTGATATGCACTGGGTAATGTGTCAGCCACCCTGCTGATTAACTTGAATTGGAGCCAGGTGCAGATATTTTTTGGGAAGAGACTTTGCAATGCTGTACATT